ATGCCAAACGTTCAGGGACTACCACCCAAATATATAATAATATGTATATATATATATGTATATATACATTATTATTGTATAATTATATATATATATATATATATATTCCGATGATATTCCCGAAAAAAGGCACAGTACCCAATTTCGAAGGGATCTAATCGAAGTGACAACAATGAGGTCATCTTCAACAGCACCAGGCTCTCCCTGCGACTTCAACCAATTCCACTGTGGTGCCTCTTGAGTGTCGTTGATGGGTAAAGGACCAACTTAGCTAACGAACTGGGGCATCACTTTGTACTTCATCTTGTTTCTGCAGCTATCGATACGTGTCCAAAATACGTATCCCGAACAACATGTTGTGCTTCAACAAGAGCACTATAAATATACTATGAACCCAAAGTTTGTTCCGGAATCCTGTAAACATGCAACCATGGAAACTTCTGTATATATATATATAGGTAATAGATATCATTAAATATTTGTGTTGTATATTCATATTATACATGATACATACTTGGACAATTATTTTTCTTTTGGACATGGTCCTGGGATCCATGCACTCCGAGATTTTATAGATGTCCAAAATTATTTCGAACCGCAAAAGAAAAAACACCAAAATCTGAACCTACATGTGCCAATGCATGGTCCATGTGTGGATTGTCACATCAAACTTTTTGTAAACCTCTTGGAAAACAACCATGAAGAACTGAGATTCTTGAAACTCTGGATCATTTACCCAGCTATGTTGATTAATCATGATTAATGTATAATAAATAATGATTTATATACTATAAAGGCCATGAATATTATACCTATATTATACCTATATATATATATGCTATATAGGTATGTCATATATATATATGACAAATCATTATATGATGTAAACATATATAGGTATAACTTTGCGCATATATATATATATATAATCACAAATTATATTCGGTCCAATGTTCACTGGAAATATCCAGCAAGTGAGCCATTGAAACTAGTAAAATATATAACCCTGTTGATTGCTTATCAATTAGATAGGGGGTCAAAAACATCTGCTCTATTTTGAATTCAGATTCTTTCGGATTACAGACTGCATTACATACCTAATTATGTGTCAAGCAGTGTAAGGGCAATCCAAAACAATAAGATACTGATCAAAAACGATGTTTCCAGCAAACAACCTTTAAAACAGAAAATGTACAAAAGAGTTCAACGAAGTAAAACCGGAATAAAACAACATCCACAGAATAAATGGTACTCATATGTCTATCCAATTCAAAAAAAAGGCTCGAGTATAGAATTAATATGTCATGAATAGTTCCAATTTTAATGACAATTACTATTCTGTGATTAAAATAGACGCTGCCAAGTAGGGGGTTGCAAAATAAATCTCATCTAAATGTTTGAGGCTTTTCATGGTCTATGTAAATTTGCTGGACGGTGTTATTATAATAGTCTATCATCTTCATTTTTTCTTCAACGGATGCAGCGTCAGCCCTCAAGCCAGTTATGTGCCTGGACTATTTCATGCTATTCAACTATAATCCCATCATATCAAACAGTAAATAATGGATGATAATGGTATAATCCCAACAATGATGTTAATTTTCATGGCTTATATGTCTAACCGTCTAACCAACTAGTTCCAAGAGTTATTTCATCCATTTCAATTGATTTCCCCACCATTTCCCCATGATTTTCCCTTCCCAAGGGCAAACAAATTACAGATCTATCTCAGTTATAGCCCTTAAGCCAGTTTGAACTGGCTTATTTCATATGTAATTAGATATGAATATATATATATATATAAATATTATAGCTTCGTCAATGCCCAGACACTTGACCATCCAAACTTCCTCCAAGCCACGCACTCTCCTTGGGCGGCTGCACCGGCACCGGCACCGGCTGCGGCTGCGGCTGCAGAGGCTGCAGAGGCTGAGCAGCGGTGGCCTGGCGGCCGCCCGCCTTGTCCCCGGGCGCGGTGTTGATCTGCAACTTATCCTGGCAGTTCGCGGGACTTCATGGGAGCTACGTTACTTTATGGGTCCAGTAACTGAGCAAACGTGGATGCTTACAATGTGAGGCCCCCTTCTACGTGATGTTTGTTGGTTTAGATTCGCCCCAGTAACTAGTTCGTTATAAGTACCATAAACCATAGTTATTGGAGCTACAAACCAACTTAGTTATCTTGGGGGCCTCACATTGTATGGTATATTGACACCTATCATGAGATAAAGCAACAAACCGAACTGGGCACCACCTGGTGGTAGCAATTGTATACTTGTAGCAACCCCCAAAAAGGAATCTGTGAAATCCTGACAAATTATAGTACTATCATACTATCTCTTTTTGTGGGTATAAACTGTATATTTGGAAAAACTATATTGTAGCAATTCACCAACTTGATTCAACCTGAAAAGTGTTCCCATCTCTGCATGTTCCCCTTAGATGGAATTTGCCAAGAACTGAGCAGATTCGGCTGGAAACTAAGATAGCATAAGAACTAGATTCTATGTGTAACTGTTCTCAGTAACTGGAAGTTTAATGATAACTGGATAACTGCAGTGGCTTCAGATGTGGATCCAACTGGCAATGGGAAATGGGACATACTGACACACCCCATGGCACTATGGTATGTTTTTGACTACCCCATTTGGATGATATGGTTTGTTTAATGGTATGTTTGATGGTATGTTTGATGGTATGTTTAATGGTATGCTGGTTAAAACAAATGATTGGTTTGCAGTTGGTCCCATTGTGGATGGTAAAACATGGTAAAACCATGTGAAACATCCAATTTGGGCTGCATCAATTTCCGATTGCGGCTGATTTCGTCACAGCTTCCATTCTTGAGAAACATCATCAAAGATGACAACTATTCTTTCAGCTGAATGCATGCAACTCAATTTATACATTATATAACAAACATCAACTACGAGGTGAGGCCCCCCAGTTATAAGTTGGTTTATAAACTCATTATATGGATGTTTCCTAAGTCATGGGGGTAACCCAATAGCTGGATGGTTCATCATGGAAAATCCCAATCTAAAATGGGTGATTTACGGGTACCCGCATTTCAGAAAACTCCCATGTAACTATAATTATATCACCAACAGTCACCAACATTTCACCAAGTTATGTGCGTCAACTTAGCTATCGTTTTCGGGAGAAACACCATGTATAAATCAAATTGTATACATCAATACAAGGTGGTCCCACCCTACTTAGCTAAGTTGGTGAACATAGCTAGCCCTTCACTAGTGTTGATGGTAATTAATAATGATTATAGAGTTAATAGTGCTTATAAACTAGCCTCCTGCAAACTGACATAGATGTGGCTTTCACCCATCATTTGCAGATCATTTCCCGAACAGGAAACCATGGTGCTGTTGCGCATTCCATGTTTACCCTAGGGCCCTAGGGTACCCTCTGGTAAACATACATTACTATGGAAAATAACCATGTTCATTTTTTCTAGCTGGGTAAATCCACAATTTCTATGGTCATTTTCGACATGTCGCTATTTTGACATAACCGTTATGGGTAACTCTGGCATAACTGGAGGGTCACCTTGTAGAACTTGCCATGGCCATGGCCAGAAGCCATGGCCCAGCCCAACACGCCGGCCGGACCAGGTTGCGGCGTAGGCGCAGTTCTGGAGCATCCTCTGCCTGCGGGGGAGGATTGTTTTCCACTGGGGATGTTTAGTTGTTTAATTAACGTAGAACTTGAAAATCACCAATGCCTAGTTCAACCATCACCATTCTACCAGGTTCGCATGTGAAAAAACAAAAAAGCCTGTACCCTCTGGTTATGACTAACATAGCCATGGTATAGATGGCCCATAGAAATAGATGGTTTACTTATCAAAAATGGTGATTTTCCATGATTTTCCATGGCTATGTTAGTCATAACCAGATGGTAAATTAACATAGAACCTGAAGAGTCACCATTGTTTAGTGGAAACTCACCTGCCAACTCCCAACTCACGACAGGGTCCATCTTCATTTACTGGGGTAAAACCGGGAACCAAGCGACGCAACTTGAAACTCTGCGATGTGAAACATCATATCAGGGTAAATTTGAGGAATTCACACTGAATGGAAAGAAAACCGTTATTGGGATAGTTACCCTCATATACAAACCATCTTTCCATTGACGTCACAGGGATGTCGCTAAGTTTTTCTCCAGGTTTGAAAAATTTGACAGACAACAATCATTTGAAATCAGGATGTCACAACAAAAGTCAACAAGTGAGCTAGACGCTCATGCATATGCGTAAAACTCACACTAACTTATGAGAAGTTGGGACAGTATCAAAAGTGAGCAAAGCAGGAAATCAAAGTCTCCTTCTTTCCAGATCTCTACCTTTGATATCATTTCATCGGTGATTTTTGGGACAGGAACCTCAGAAAACTCAGGAAACCAAGAACCAGCCTCAGATACCAACCATGAGGAGGATATGGAGAACTGGTTTTTGGGGGAGAATAGGCTACCCTCCAATATCCACCGCCAGCGCCTTTCTTGGCGGGTGGGATACTGAGGTGGAAACTCAAAAACTGTGCCAGTGCTCGTTCAACGGACTCGTGGAAACTGATAAATTTGTTATCGACAAAGGTACACTGACAAATAAATACTGTAAATTAGTGTAAGACAACAGAAAAATACTTTTCGAAAATTGGATGATGGTAAAATTGAAAGCCAACCCCCCCGATCAATCTGGGGGGTAAAAAAACCCATTGTTGCAGGGTATATAAGATTTTCCCGAACAAAACCAATCCACTGATACTTGAAACGTGGATGGCGGAGTACAAACAAACTAAGTAGTATGCAGCGACATAGGCTTTATGGCCGTATACGGTCTGGGCATTGAGTCTCTTCAACTCAGGCTGTGATGAGTTTGAACATCCGAGACCGAATACTATGGTAATCTGGTTGGTGGTTTGGAACATGACTTGTATTTTTCATATATTGGGAATAATCATCCCAACTGACTAATATTTTTCACAGGGGTAGGTATACCACCAACCAGTTGCAGCTTGGCTTTTTCTCCGGCATGGCGCTTGCCCTATGAGGCTGTGATGCTGTAGATCTTCACGCTACCATTCGCCTGGGCGAGGCTTACGGCGAGGCTAGCTGCTAGCTCCATGGTGCTGGTATATTTACCTACAGAACTGGCTGATTTATCTTGGGCACATGTTGGTAAATATTCCAGCACCATGGAGCATATGGGATATATCAAGAAGTATTCTTTTTACCCACGTAATATATATATATAATATGTATATATATATATATATATGGGCGGCATGGTGTCGCGACATGTCGCAACATTACAATTGATCCAAAACATCATACGTTTTGCTTTGACCGCAGTTTGGTTGGTCAATCCCCACGTTTCTGGCTGATCCATACCAATCACACCATTTTCCATAGCCAATCAGTGGCGGATAGTGTAACTCCAACATGGGTAGTTAGATGTAGTTAGTGTTGGCTACACAACATTGGAATTTGCAGTCTCCACCCTGAAACATCTGCAGCCAGTGCCATGCCCAACACATGGTAATATAATACATTGCAATACACTACATAGATACATACAGACACAGAAACGGTTTGTAAAAAAAACCGAGCCCTTTCAAATGGTTTTTCCAGACATTATCTTTTTTTTCCTCTTATCGTTTTTCCAAGGGCTGGCTTCACACCTTGATCAAAGAATTCACATGAGCGAGGAAAGGGAAAAGGAAAAGGAATAGTAAAGGAAGGGAAAGGAAAGAATAGGAAAGGGAGAGGAAAAGGAAAGAGAAAGGAAAAGGAAAGGGAAAGGAAAAAGAAAGGAAAACAAAAAACAAAAGGAAAAAAAAAGGAAAAGGAACGGAAAAGGAAACAAAAAAGGAAAGGAAAAGGAAAGGAGGAAAAGGAAGAGTAAAGGAAGAGTAAAAGGAAGAGTAAAGGAAGAGTAAAGGAAGAGTAAAGGAAGAGTAAAGGAAGAGTAAAGGAAGAGACAGGAAAAAGGAAAGGAAAGGGAGAGGAAAAAGTAAAAAAAGGCAATGTCTCACACGGACCATTTTTGATGCCACAAGCTATCGTTTTCGTTATCGTTTTGTTATCGTTCGTGAATCTTGTGTGTGTGTTCCTTTTTTTCTGACAATTATCAAAAAAGGAGTGTAGCGACCATCTACCAGGCACCTTCCTTGTGCAGAATCTGCGCCATTATGACAACAAACACTGAAAGGAAGAGACCAAAAGCACTAATTAGCCGCAGAATGATGAACAAAATCAAGAACTTTGGATTTCAAGAGTCTGGACACAGATCATTAACATAACTAACGTTATCTTTTTTTCCTCTTTTCGTTTTTTTTCGAGTGAAAGCTAAAAATGGCTCATGGGAGATCATGGAAGACTAAACGAATAGGCGCGGGGTTTTTACAAACTCCTCATGTGTACATATATAAAGTTTAAAGATATGCAGTACCTATTATGTATGTATATATATATATAAATATGTATATACACATATAATATGTATACATATACATATATATTTAAATATAATTATATAAATATAATTATACATATATATATATATATATGTGTATACTTATATATATATATATGTATACTTATATATATATATATGTATACTTATATATATGTATACTTATATATATATATATGTATACTTATATATATACTTATATATATATATATACACTTATATATAATTATATATATATACAATTATACATATATATATATATATATTGTAGTTATATATATATATATTATAGTTATATATATAATATATATATATATATATATATACATACTATATAAACTTAAACATAGATGTTTAGATCAATGGATTTGTGACCGTCCCCCAATATGGGAACACAAGCCATGCTTTGACCATGGACCATATGTCTGATGCTTTTCGCATCAAAGAATGCGTGGAATTGAAATTGATCTTTTGATGATGTTCCTGTTCAAAAAAAAAAACATCTAAATTACAAACTATAAATAACTTCCGCAGCGCAAAAGAACATCAGGTTATCCAGAATCGTTTTTAGACCATGATCATTTTCCTGAAAATTAAGCCTTCATGTTCCCATCACACCTCATAGCCCCCATCTCCAGCTGCTGACCTTCACAGCACCAGCAATGGCATCCACCACTTTGAAGGACGCATCATCAGCCACCTTACGGCGAGGCTTCAACGCAACTGGACGGAACTGTTGGGTTTATGAATGGGACACTGCTTATAGGTGGTTTATCCCACTATTTATTTACATATATACTCTGGTTGGTGGTATACCTACCCCTCTGAAAAATATAAATTCGTCAGTTGGGAAGGATGACATCCCATATATTATGGAAAAATAAAAAAAGGTTTGAAACCACCAAGCAGTGATATGTCTATAGTTCATAGGCTTTGCAAAGTTGATGAGGTATGAGGTATCTGAATTTCATCTCCACGATTTAGGTGCTTATTCTGGTGAGCCAACCATAATTGGGATACTAGAAAGAGATGACTGACGGGGATAATTGGACTATAATGATTCATGGGATCATAACTCCAATGACTATGCTTTATGATGTTTATGTTAGGTACAGAAAATATCGTCGATATCGATAATTGCAGGGGTCGCAAAATCAACAAACATACCTGGGGCATCCTGGGGCACCGCTTTGCAGGACCTTTGCCCCGGATCTTGAGCAGTTTCGTCATGATTCACCAGCCCACTAATCCCAATATATCCATATATCCCAATTCGTAACGTTGTGACATCATGGTGGGGTCAGTAGAATTCATCAAAATTGGTTAGTCTTAGTATCCATCTATCCGCCTGTCTATCCCTGGTAAGTTCGATTCCCAGACTTAGTATCTACGTGGATGCCCCCATCACACTCGCTAGAGTTTCTTCGCAAAATTCGCTAAATGGACATGTCCAAAAATGGGGAGTTGAGGGATGGGATGGGACATGGGGAACATGACAACAATGGGTTTCTGGGTTCTAAGCATAGTTTTGGAGGTACCAGGTTACCAGCCTCGGCAAAGACGCAAAAGCCACCATAGACATCATCCAAATGCGTGTTTGCCTGAAAGACAGTGCCGCTCCATGCCATGCCCCGGGTAACATCACTGCGAAGACTCATGGGGATGATAAAGTCGGTATATCTTCATGTAACTATGTGCAACTCTATGGTCAGGCCTTTCCCCCCAAACATCACAAAGGGATAGAACATATGCTTGGGTGGTTCAGAATCGCTGGCAAACATCTACGATAAAAACATGAGCATAACAAGATTGGGCCACCGAAGCCACCAAACTAGAAAAAGAGTCAGCGAGGAGAGGCCAACCTTGTAGTTTCCTCCCCAGAGAGAAAATATAACACTGACACACATTACTGAAAGCAACAGATTCTTATCGTTCGCAATGTAAATGCAAACACAATGGCACAAACACAATGGATTCTGAAACCATATGCCGGTTTTGATATCTGTTCCATATGGTGTTCTTCCATTGAACCTTGCTTATCACACCTTTGGACCTTGCCCCACCGCAAGAATACGAGAGCCCGTTGAATAATCCCTCAACATCTGGACTCATTGCCGCATCGCCTGCAAATTGATAAAGAATTCCGTGTTGCCTGCAGCGGCCACACCAGTGTTTTGCTACCCTGAAATGGTTGTTGCGTCTCTACACAAGCTATAATCAATTCTCTTCAGAGATGGATGATGCACCATAGAAATGGATATACTCTTGACACATTTTTTCGAGGCAGAGGATTTTGACAGGAAGCAATAGCCGAACAAAAAAATCAGAGGTAAAAAAAAACGGTTGTCGAAACATCATCCAATCTTATTCTTCATCCATAAACCCATCATAAGCCATCTAATTCTGCATCAACAACCTTACCAGGCCTTACCAAACTGATCATTTCTGCCTGAATCGGCCTACCTTGTCCCCGTCTTTCCGCTTCAGGTCGGCGAAAAAAAAAGTCGAAATTACTTACGCCAGGTCATGAGACCCTGAATGGATGATGATTTTGAACATCATGGAAAACATCCAAAAAAACATCATTATACAGTACGGTAACATCTGATATTAATTAATCTAAATCTCATATATGTATATATATATAATTATATAATTATATGTAATGCATGATCATATAAAATAACATAAAATCATATAAATACATATCTAGCCCCCATTTCAAGTGTGGGTGTTCCAACCTGGACCTGCCATCCTGGCCACAGATTCCATGGCTTCAGCAGTGCAAGATGTCGCAGGTCCATCTCCGAATCTGAATCACTACATCCTTCACTTGGTTTATCTTGGATTTGCTTAAGGGGTTCCCCCAAAAAAAATATAATTATATATATATATATATTCACTATAGATTCCCCAAATGGTGGATTTTCCGTTGGGAAAATAAAAAATCACCTTAAACAAACCCATGTTATGTCCAGTTCTTGGTTCACCTCGAGAAATTGGGCCCCCGGACCGTTGTCCGGCACATCAAAATGAGCGATGGCACAAGTACCACGCCTTGAGCGATTCCAAACACTCCCAGGACGATCTCAGTTGGTTCTTAGTGGACACAATTCTGAAGTGGGTTTTTGGAGGGTGCATAAATCCAGATGAGCTATGGTTATTAGTTAGTATCCCCGTGTATAAATTGTGCTTCAATTCAATAATTCAATTGTGCATCTCAGAGGCTACAAATGGGTTTAACCATGTAAATCCAAAACAGTTGGTATATAAATCCCATAACTATGGTTATTAGTTTGTATCCACTTGTAACTGGAATTGCACTTCCAAGAAAGAAGCCAGCTTGAGGACCGCAAGGTGCTACCCCCAAAATCCTTAGCTGAGTTGGACTAGTTCGGGAGGTTTCAGTAAGTCTTGCGGCACCACCTTGTTGGGTTCTTGAAATCAGAACATCTGGGTTACAATGTGGTTATTCTGATATTGTTGGTAAATCTGATAACAAATCCATTAACCAGATCTGATGTAAAAAAACATGGTCATATGGTTCTTAAACTGGTTATTACTTCTTTGGTTCATGGACATCCAAGTTGGTACCCTGTTAACCTTCACTCTTCACTGGTATCGCACAGGGACAACCGAACAGACCCTTCCTACGAAATGCCTCGGTGAAATTGGATCATAACCAACCTCTATATACAATGGATGGTTTCGTTTATAGTACAGCAAAAGGATACTAGGCCAGGGGGATTTTACTCTATATTTTAGGGTTGCTACATAAAGTCATGAATTGATGGATGACCACAGCAACACAGTAACCCTCACGGGTTACTGGTGCTGGTTGTGCAGGAACATGCACATACATAGTGATACATAATAATACAGTTTCAATTACTCGCTGATTATCTAACATAGCCATGGAACATGGTCCATTTATAGATGGTTTTCCCATTAAAACCTCCATTTATTTACGGGATTTTCCATGGCTATGTTAGTCATAACCAGATGGTAATTAGTACGGCCAGCAGATTTCAACATCAGTACCCACCAGTCCACCAGTCATTAGTGTCAACTGCTTGGCTGGAAAGTCACCCATTTTTCATAGGAATATCCCATATTTTATTATAACAATCCATATGGCAGTGTGTCAAAACCAATAGTACCCCTGTAGTTCACATCAAAATAGCTGGTAAATGGATGTTCATCCCCCTAAACATGGTATTAATAGGTATTGATCCATACCCATATGTGTTCTGGAAAGTCAACCATTTTCCCATATCTTCACTGTTAATATCAACCCTGGATTAATAAACCCCTAGGCCGTCTAATTGGGGGGTACCATTTAAGTATTAGATTGTGACTATTGGGGGAGTACCCCCCTAATTAATAAACCATGGTTTATTAATCCGGGGTTGACATTAATTGGATTCTTATCCCATATTTTCCCATAAAAAGTTCAGATGTTCCAGCCAGGACGACCCTTCTGCAGCCCCTAGATCTCAGGGGTCGAGAGGCGTGTTGGAAACGAAGACACCATCTTTGGTCTCGTTGCGTGAGAGGTTACCTCAACGAAAATCGTTGTAATCTTAGGAATTCGCAACTAACAGTATGTTATTTCACTCCAATATACTCCAATAATATGTGTTGAATCTATCTACACTTGATTCACTTGATGTTGAATATATAAGTGTTGCTGTTGATATATGTTGACATTGATGTTGCAGTTATTCTGGGAATCCAATTTTTTCTATGTTGAATATATCTATGGGTGAACATGAAGCAACAAATCTGGGAGTCCCACAAAAAATGCAGACTTGGCTCATGGCAAACGCTTCGAATCCAGTTGCCATTCCGTTCTAGTCCGTCGCTTGAAAAAGAAGAAGAAAAAAAAAACGACAACCCGGTGAAGGATCAAGGCTTCTGGGCCGTGTCTAAAAATGCGGTATGCCTGAAATATCCTAAAATCACGATGTTGGTAATGTCAACCCCGGATTAATAAACCATGGTTTATTCATTAGGCTGGTACTCCCCAAATAGTCATAATCTGATACTTTTTTTTATGGTATACAATTAGGGATGATGATGATGCTGATGATACTGATAATTCATCAATGGATGGAAACTAACATGATTTGGATCATTGAATCCTGCGGACCATGATGCTGAACAAGTCCCACTTTGAATTCCTCCTTTTAATGAATGGAGTCTCGGAGTGGAGACAACAAGAACACATGTTTGACGTGTTTGAAGGTTATGATTATCAATGATTGCCTTGATGCTTTGATAATCATCCTACGTGCTGATAGTTGTTGGCAACCATCTTGTCAGTCCACTAGGGCTTCTTCATCTATACGGTTAAATTCAAATAAAAAACATCCCAAAAGTCTTGGTCGCTATCTTTGTCGGAAACAAAAACTGTACTTCTTAATCGTGACATGGACAAGTTTCATGTTTCCCCTTAAGTTGTCCCTTTGGAGGTAGGGCTCAGCATTTTGAGGAACACCCCATGTAGGTTGTAGCTTACACAGCTTTGTTTGAACATGGGGGACACCCCAAAAATGGCGATGTCAAGAGGGAAACGTGATGCTGTAGCGGTAAGTTTGGGGGATACCCTATTTTGAGACAAACCTAGATCTACATGCACAATATCTATATCCATCTTGTCCAATTCCCTTATCCCATATCCCTTTTCATACTTCTCCCGTTTATTTTCCCCTGAAAAAAGCCAAGCGGATCCACACCAAGCGACTGGGCGCTTTTTGCGGATAGAGACCACATTGGATCACAAAGTCGCTACCTCGCGGCAGAGGAGTGGGTCCATCGGAAGTCCGACAGCAGATTCCAAGGGCCCCCTACTTCGGGCCCGGACGATAAAAGCTCTTGCCGTCATAGAGCCCATCCTTCACGGCCTGGGCAAAACCGAAATAGACCTGAGAAAAATCTTGGAAATTGGATATATATGATGTATGACCATCCCCCAATCTGGATATGTATATATATATATATACATAATCTTGCTGAATTATAATGATTCACTAAGCTAAAAATAGCTGAAACTTGCAGGCATTTGGGGATGCTACCACTGAAATAAACCACCATTGGAATGACCAGGAAAGAGCTGTCAGATATTCGCGCCCTGTCAGTTGATGGCCGCAATAGGAATCCACATGTTTTTCTTTGCCAGGTTTCTAGTTGGCAAAACCCCTTTTTGATCCTTTTTGGACAGTCAAGATTACCAGTTGAATCTCTTCAAAGGCATGTACAGAACAAACACCTGCTGCAGGGGTATCATCATCTCGCACGTTTGCGTAGCCGAATCGTTTTTCTTGGATCCAATCATCTACTGGAACCGCATGGAACCATTGTGGCTCTTATTAAAAAAACACATACTTGGGCCTGACATGGGATGAAATAACTCCGGGAACTAGTTGCTTAGAAATATCATGTTCCTCGGCCAGAAACATCACAGTGTTTTCAGGCTATAAATGTACTGCATCGTGGTGCAACATGGATCTTTGAAAACGAAGCGATTCGCAGCCCACCTTCACGATATACTCGCAGGTGATGGGAGCAGAATCCGGCCTCCCAAAATCTGGTGTGATCATAAGATTCCAACAACCTGAAATAAGGTCATTGTGGGACAGCTACCTCTACTAACCATTACTCACATTTACTAACCATCATTCCAGTCACATCGCAGTGAAGTCGTTGTACAGTAATTCATCCAGATGGAATAGCAGTGAACTAGCCAACGCCCAAGATAGTGGACATGACACATACTGCACATATCTTCGAGGCATCAAAACACTGAAGGGCTACACAAACAAATCATCAACCTGGGGTAGTTGACTACCAGACAAGTCAAACAATGAAGAACATTGCTTGAACAATCCAAGCGTCAGCTTCACCCATTGCCATTGCGTCTACTGAAAGTTGGGGCATGCATACCCGAGAATTGGCCATTGGGCCAACAAAAAAACAGGTTTCAAACATGGAAGGTGATTCATAGCAACAAACATTACCCCAAATCCTTGGGGGCACCCTCAATCAAGCCCAGGATTCTCCACAAAAGTCACTGGTCGTATTCGGCATGAGCTTTGTTGAACCCCAAGGGTGATCTCGGGGGATGCCCAAGGATTCGATGTTTCAGCGGCTCCAAAGTGCCGTTGCGACGGGGTGATGCCTGTCATTCAAGTTGGCGTATCCAAAGCCATCCTCAATTATAGATACATATTTGTCATAAACCCTAGTGAAGCTACTGAACTAAACCAACTTAGCTAAATCCTATGAAGTACCATTAATATCCATTAATTAACATGAAAGTACTATGAAAATCTATGAAATCACCTTTTTTGTTGGTAACATACCTAAGTTTGGGGGCCAACTCCTGGCTTCGCTGTACTTCACCGCTTTTCTCAAGAACCCCTTGAGGGTCGTGGACGCCAACAAAAAAAAAACGGGCAGCAGATGGAAGTGCCAGGATAATTTTGGTGTGATCTGTTCATCATCCATCTATCATATCAAGACTTATATATCTGTATCTATGATTATCTATGTATCTAGCTTTCTAGCTATCTATTTACCTACCTATTCCATCCATCCATCAATCCAAACATCAATCTTTTGATATATGAACTAGTTTCAGTGATCTACTATGCAATCTTCGTCACCCGGCACGCGTGTCCGCCAGCAAAATCCTTACATTTCTCTCTAAACCATGACTGGGGGGTCAATTTTACTTCGTATTGGAGAACATCTATTAAACTATCCAATAATAATGTATACGCAAGAAAGCAAACCTCTATCAGAAATGGTTTAGGGTTTTTGGTTTCAATCACCACAACTTCCCTGCCTAGACTTTTGATACTTGTGGTATCCGCATATCTAACCACGCTTTTGGGCACACATGCCATAACTCAAGGTCAGTGGATGATGCTGGAACCAACACTTCCCATCCGCACAAAAATCGCCCAGAGAAGCTGGTGACTCAGCTGCTATGAGAAAGGAACCATGAGCCACTAACCATTTGACCAGACCTAAAGATGCTATTTGGATAAGTTGTTTTATGATTTATGACATCTATAACTTCACTAATGTCAACCCTGGATTAATAAACCCCAAACGGCTGTTTAATTGGAAAGGTACAATGACTAAGTATCAAATCATTATCATGATTATTCCTAAAAAACAATGGTGTATTAATCCAGGGTTGACATTATACTAAATGGGGTTTATATATGTTTAAAACCAACTTATCGCTGGAAAAAAACACCTTTTTTCAAATATTGAATGACTTACCTTCCCATTTTTTGGCTTGCTAGAGACCTATCTTGGTTGGATAATGTGAGACAACCTTAATAGAAAAAGTTTGTTCCACAATCTAATCCAATGAATGCCAAAAACAAATCGTGATATTATGATACATTATGTGTATATAAACATGTTGATTCTGGTGTGGCACTGGTGTGGTTTATTCTTGGGCTGGTTACTTTTCATGAACATGGGTCACAGAATTGTGATGCATGTTCAGAGCACCAGCTGAATATCCCCTTCCTCAGCGCAAAAGCCGCCAACGTCAAGAGCGCCAAGCCAGGCAATTGTACAACTGGGAAACTGGATCCTTTATCATATCATAGTATTGGGTATATGACCATCCCCCAATCTGGGTATATTATATTTATATGTACAGTAATATATGTATATAATCTGACTGAACTGTAATATTTCACTCATCTGAAAATGGTTGAAACTTGCGGCCAATTATAGGGATGATTTCCCTGAAATAAACCACCATTCCAGTGACGTCACGACGTGAGGTCATGATCAAATTCATACAAATCCTTTGGAATGAAGCTGCCGTAGGACGTCGTGAAACGCATGGGAAAAAACAAAAACAAAACGTTTGATCAATTACCAATGGCCATTGAGAGCTTTCAGGCAAATCCGAATTTAATTGCTTGCAGGGAAAGCGTTCTGAACATCTTCACATTTTAAAGTGTAGCTACTTGCTGAAGTGCTTATTGGCTTAGTTTTTGGAAGCGCGTTGCGGAAGCCGGAGATGGATAGGGTTTTTGGCTGCAGCAATAAATGAGATATGTGCTGAGCTGCCCAAAATATCCCAACTGTTCCCAAATGAACTGTTCAAAACTCCGAGGTGCTTGGAACATTTGGAAAGGCAATCTTAGAAGATGTTGGAATCAACCAACCCTTTTCATTCCTTCCACCAGCAAAGAATAAATTCCTCAAGTACAAGGTGGTGCCGCCCAGTTATAAGTTGGTTTATAAGCCCATTAACTATAGATATATCACCTATAAACCATAGTTATTGGAGTTATAAACCAACTTAGCTATCTTGGGGGCACCACCTTGTACCCAAAGACGAATATTTTGAAGTAGCCTTACTTCCCAGATGCATCTGTACACTACACCTTCAGCAGCCTAGCTGCCGGCATTGGCAACGCCGCGTGAACTCTGCCTCTGGCGAATCCACGGCGTCTTCGAACGGGGCCATCACTTGCACGTAGCATGCATGGGCAATTTCTGTGAATGGAACAATATGTTGGTGATTATGTTGGACTGACACATATAATGTAGGAAATTATATATATATATTATCTTATATGTAACTGTATAGTCACCGCCACAAATAGAACAGCAATTTATCATATTTGTTGGCAGGATTTTGCCTCTTTTGAATCTTCTTGGGGCTTGCTAGCAATGCTATATAATGTGCATTATATATATATACAGTATATACATATTGCCCTCCGGTAAACGTTTACATAACTATGGAAATCACCATGTTCAATGGGAAAATCCGCTATAAATCACCATTTTCAATAGTTTTATGTATGTTTACTGGAGGGTATCGGTTTGACCTAGATGCCAAAGCTGGGTTCCGAAAGGCCCTTGGTCGTTGATTCAGTGGGCAGCCAAAAAGGCTATGGTGATTTAAGTGGGAAACAAACGGAAAATAACTGCATATCATCGGATATTCATACATATCTGGTTGGTGGTTTCAACCCCTCTGAAAAATATGAAAGTCAATGGGAAGGATTATCCCATATATATATATTATGGAAAATAAAAAATGTTCCAAACCACCCTCCAGATATTAATTGGGATACGATGGATATTCCCCCAACATTGACTTTTTTTTACCAGAGACTTCTGGGGGGCAACCATTTTCTTAGACAAAGCCATATATGTCATCTTGGTTGCGTGGTTGACAAGTGTCTTATAATTTCTCCCAACTTTTGTCGATCAATGGTTGAACCCCATGATCAATCCCCTAGACATTGGTAGTCCAAATGCTAAGTTTAGAAAACACACCAACAAAAAAACAACAATATGGAGATGTCCATAGTCATGGGGGTACCCCGGGTTTAATGAATGGTTTATTTCATGGAACATCACAAACAAATGGATGATTTGGGGGGACCCTCATGACTTTGGAGACCTCCATGTTGGTGGCTTTAAACCATAATTATTGCGGTGCCATCGCAAGCCACCGCTTGCGCCCAATGCGCTTCAGGCTTTGACCGAGATAACCGTGCCGTTCTTCAAACGCTTCCTCAGCCGAGACGTGTCGGGAGAGCATGGAAAAAAAATCCACATGGAACGTTGAACTGGTCAATGTGGTTGAGCCATGTTGAGCCATGAATCCCCCAAAAAAAAGCAACTGGAGATCATCATCAAAGGCAGGGCGGAACACATAGATTTTATATGAGTTGAAACCACATCAAACCACCAAGAGTTTCTGGGAGAATTGAAGGCGAATGCCCATTTCACGAAGCATCGAGCAAATTCAGCCATTGACTCATGCTTGCTCAAAGTGACCTTAAAATGTGTATGTGTTTTTTTTTCACGCCAATAAAAGTAACCTTTAAAATCCTTTAAAAAAATGCATTTGTTTAAAGTTGAAAACCGATAACAGATCGTTACTAGGTTTTTTCAAGTGCTTTGTTGGTAAATCAGACCTCAATCCAACTGGGGTCAGGTGGTTGAACCCATGAACAAATCAGCGGTCAGCGTTTCATCCAAGAAACTTCTTCCACTGCGGCGCCTGAAACGCGGCTGGGAAAGAAGGAAAAAACATGGACCGATCATTTTCTCCCTTGATGTGCTTCGTCCCGAAGAATACTTTTAGCAACCCCCAATAAGAATCAATAAGATACAATGTGGGGTTTACAACTACATTAACTAGGGTTTATGTTACTTATAAGCATAGTTAGATGGGGTTATGAACCAACGTATAACTAGGGGGCCCCACATTGTAGGAAGGCGGGAAGTCTGGATATTTGTTGATGGTTCACAAGTATGGAACACTTTTAGGACCAACTAAGTTTGCCCAAACAACTCCATATGTCATATAGATAGTCCATTCCCATTGGAGAAGACAATCCCTGTTCAGTCATTTTTTCAGGTGGCTTGTGCTGACCAAGCATGAATGTGTTTCCAGCTAAACATACAATGAACAAGTATAAAAACATATAAAAACAATGCCGGTTTGCTATACTGAAGCGTTTCCAACATCATACAAATAATGTGTTTTTTTGCACTATATTTTGAGTTTTTTCCTATAGCAAATAACAGCCCACCCCAAAAAAATAGAACCGTGTTTCCAGGATATATTTTTCAGTTGAATAAGTAGGGTAAATCCACTTACAAATAGGGTGAACTTACCTACTTAGGAAGTGAAATGAACCACCTAAGTGGTAGGTATGTATGTAATGTAATGTAATGTAATATAATGTAATGTAATGTAGTGTCATGTAATGTAATGTAATGTCATGTAATGTAATGTATGTATGTATGTATGTAGGTATGTAGGTGTGTATGTGTGTATGTGTGTATGTAGGTGTTTAGGTGTGCAGGTGTGTATGTGTGCAGGTGTGTATGTGTGTATGTGTGTATGTGTGTATGTGTACATGTAGGGATGTAGGGATGTAGGGATGTAGGGATGTAGGTATGTAGGTATGTAGGTATGTAGGTATGTAGGTATCTAGGTATCTAGGTATGTAGGTACCTAGGTATCTAGGTATCTAGGTATCTAGGTATGTAGGTATGTAGGCATGTAGGCATGTAGGTATGTAGGTATGTAGGTATGTAGGTATGTAGGTATGTAGGTATGTAGGTATGTAGGTATGCAGGTATGGAGGTATGTAGACATGTAGACATGTAGACATGTAGACATGTAGACATGTAGACATGTAGACATGTAGGGATGTAGGGATGTAGGGATGTAGGGATGTAGGGATGTAGGTATGTAGGTATGTAGGTATGTAGGTATGTAGGTATGTAGGTATGTAGGTATGTAGGTATGTAGGTCTGTAGGTCTGTAGGTCGGAATGTAGGTATGTAGGTATGTAGGTATGTAGGTATGCAGGTATGCAGGTATGTAGGTATGTAGGTAGGTAGGTATGTAGGTATGTAGGTACGTAGGTACGTAGGTAGGTAGGTCTGTATATGTCTGTATATGTCTGTATATGTCTGTATATGTCTGTATATGTCTGTATATGTTTGTATAGGTCTGTATATGTCTGTATATGTCTGTATATGTCTGTATATGTCTGTTTATGTCTATATATGTCTGTATATGCCTGTATACATATGTATGTATACATATGTATATATAATTATATATATACAATTAATATATATATATATACAATTATAATATATATATACAATAATAATTAATATATATATATACAATTATAATATATATATAATTCTATATACAATTATAATATATATATACTGTAATATACACATGACATTGCCATATGTTGATGGAATATATTTCAATATAAACGTGCTTTTGGCTTGCCGGCCTGCTCTGAAGCCTCTTGACCGGACCTCACAGAGGAAAGGGTCAAAATTGGGCCGGTTTAATAGAATCGGAATGACCATGCTATGCGGTGTCGAACTTCGAACTTAGAAACATGTTGAACACCACCAAATACCAATGAGTTTCCGAAGAAAAATCCGAAATCCACCCAGTGGAATCATGTTCAAAAGCCACTACAGTACTACTTGGTGCCCGCGCCAAGCTTCTTGTGGGTTTGTGGCAGGGGGCGTCCAACGTGTCTGGCAGCATCAGGCTCAATGGATACCACTTGCAAATGGGGTATACAGGTAAGGATACACAACAGCAAAATATCAATAAAGTGTCTTCAACAAGTGTTAAGGATGTTAAAGGTATTTTGAAAAACAGCGATTGGAAAAATCATATCTAAGACAGGTTTCGATGCAAATGCATTCTGAAACGGCCGTTCTGAAGCGAAAAAGATCGCCTAACTGGCCTACAGTAGGCGGACTCTTCAGCAAATTGGCACTGTACCTTAAACATCCTTGAGCCACTGTCTTGCTTGGTAGCATACAATCTGAAAGGACATTACCACATATTCTGGTTGGTCGTATACCTACCCCTCTCAAAAATATTAGTCAAATTGGAATATTATTCCCAATATATGGAAAAATAAAAAATGTTCCAAACCACCAACCAGTATTTGTTAGACACTTTTGGTGTGCTATGTTGTGTGTCACCAACTCGACAGCACACAGAAAGCTTCAATTATATCTTGTTTTTCCTCCGGTGCGGTGTGGGGGTTACTGGGTTCCAGCTTAGACGTGTAGTTCCAGAGAGCAGTAGTAAAGCTATCCAAAAGCATCCGCTCCTCCCGGCCTCCACTCCTAGACTTTCCGGAACCCCACGCCAATCCACCAACAATTCTGAAGTAAAAAAACATGACATCATATGATGAACCACCGCAAAAAAGTTATGCCATCTCTTCACGCGGCATGATTTTGAAACAACGATGGCCATCTCATTCACAATCACTACAAGGACCTTTTTAGACCAACGCCCATCTAATCTACCAATACTGTGGCAACTGTACCTGAAACGCAGCAAGTCAGCGGGCTCAATGCCTCGCCAGTCTCGACATTCACATAGTAAGTCCTAGGCGGGAAATGCACACATCAGTGGTGGCCCGCAATAGAGGGATGGGAAAATGATGGGAAGTCACAACAATAATGGGATGAAATAACTCCTGTAACTAGTTGATTATATACCATCTGGTTATTTAACATAGCCATGGAAAATCCCTCATAAATGGAGGTTTATAGCTGGGAGAATCATCTATAAATGGGTCATTTTCCATGGTTATGTTGAATAACCAGAGGGTATCATGAAGTAAGCCAGGAACACTGGCGTAAGAGAGCCATGCAGTGGATGGTCAAGTCTCACTGGGAGGATTACCTACCAGCGTCGCAGGACCCAAGGTTTCACCTCTAAAAAAAGGACATCTCCATGAAAAATGGAGGGTTTCGTAAGTCATGGGGGTACCCCCAGTCATCATCCATTTTATTTTCGGATGTTCCATGAAATAAACCATCCAGCTATTGGGGTACCCCCATTTATGGAACCCCCCATATAATCCAGAAATTCCATTGATTATATTCTTATAAGTGGAGTCCCTTTGTGTACGAATTTCATACTAATATGTGAATGCCAGTGATAGATTGCTAAATTATTAAGAGGAAATCTCCATAATACCATTATAACCGCATCTAACTAGTTCGTTATAACCATAAACCTTAGGGAAATTCTCCAACTTATCAACTTTATAACATATAACTATATGTTATAACTATAGCTATATGTTATAACTACCATAACCCCAACTACAAAAAAAATATATCAAAAACGCACCAACGGCGGCCGCAACCACCGGCCCGGCGGCGACCCCCGGCCCTTGTGGAGGCTGAGCTTCCAGGCATTCCGCTACTGCGCGACACCTTGGGCACCCACTCCGCGGCCTGCCGATCCGCCACAGGATCCGCAACGGGGGGGGGGGGGCCGGGGCCGTACGTTGGACACTTGGAGGCTATATCGCAAGCCAAGAGGCTATGGATCAATACTAACCAAAAGGCAGCGAAGCAAACCATAGGCGCAAAATGGACGCAACTGATTCCGCCTGCTTCGGGCCGTAATAGGCTTTCCAGAAAGACATGCCGATGAAGCCGCTGGAACCGCTGGCGCCGATCAGGCCAATTGAGCCGATGAGGCCGCTGGAGCTGCTGAGGCCGATGGAGCCGATGAGACGATGAGGCCGATGGAGCCAATGAGGCCGCTGGAGCCGATGAGGCCGATGGAGCCGCTGCAGCCGATGGAGCCGCTGGAGCCGATGACGCCGATGAGGCCGATGAGGCCGATGGAGCCGATGAGGCCGATGAGGCCGACGGAGCCGCTGGAGCCGATGAGGCCGATGGAGCCGCTGGAGCCGATGAGGCCGCTGGAGCCGATGACGCCGATGAGGCCGGAGCCGCTGAGGCCGATGGAGCCGCTGAGGCCGATGGAGCCGATGAGGCCGATGAGGCCGATGGAGCCAATGAGGCCGCTGGAGCCGATGAGGCCGATGGAGCCGCTGGAGCCGATGGAGCCGCAGGAGCCGATGACGCCGATGAGGCCGATGAGGCCGATGAGGCCGATGAGGCCGATGGAGCCGATGAGGCCGCTGGAGCCGACGGAGCCGCTGGAGCCGATGAGGCCGATGGAGCCGCTGGAGCCGATGAGGCCGCTGGAGCCGATGACGCCGATGAGGCCGATGGAGCCGCTGAGGCCGATGGAGCCGCTGAGGCCGATGGAGCCGATGAGGCCGATGAGGCCGATGAGGCCGATGATCGGCCGATGAGGCCGATGAGGCCGATGAAGGCCGTGGGCCCCTCGAGCAGCTGAGGCCGATGGAGCCGATGAGGCCCCTCGAGCCGCTGGAGCCGATGAGGCTGATGGAGCCGAGCCGATGAGGCCGATGGAGCCGATGGAGCCGATGAGGCCGATGGACAGGCCGATGGTCAGGCCGATGGACCAGGCGCCACAATGCAAAGCACCCATGCGCTGAAAGTGGCGCTTGGCGCCGGAGATAAATCCTATGCAGTATTGCATGCAAGTATAAAGAGAGTTGCAGGTTACAGCTACATGTATCGAGACACCTTAACCCATTCCACCCTGCCTACATGCACAAGAAGTGGTGCCGCAAAATCGACGCCAACCGTCAATGGCACGGGCCGGGGCCCCCCAGGAGGTTGCTATGTCTGTAGCAGAACTGGTTAACCCTTAGCCTTATTAACCATTAATGGATTATATAGGGTTTATATATGGTTTATATATGGTTTATATATGGTTGATATATGGTTTATATATGGTTTAAATATGGTTTATATATGGTTTATATATGGTACATTTCAATGCAACAAATTATCTGGTTGGTGGTTGAGCCCTACCCCTCTGAAAAATGATGGAGTTCGTCAGTTGGGATGATGACACTCCCAATATATGGAAAATAAAAAAATGTTCCAGTCACCACCAACCAGATAAGATCTATACATCATAGATATATCTACCGTAAACATCCATAAACCATAGCAGCCATAGCAAATATCATATATATACACACATTCACGTATGTTTAGCATAAAACATACTTAAACCACAAACCATAAACCATAAACCATATGTAAACCATTTATCATAGTTAGGCTAGTTAGAAACAAGCTTAGCTAATGTAAACAGGTACCCTACCTAGTAGAGAAAAAAAACAGCAATGCATAGAAATCCACATGTCTATTTCCAGGATGATAGTTTTTCATGATCCTTCCCCCCAACAATGTCATTGTTTCCAATTTTTCTATGCCCAAATGGGGGTGGTTAACGTTGACCTGGTTGGTTTAGGACTATGGGATCACCTACATTTGGAAAGGACTGGAAACACCCAAATCCCGACATTGGTAAACGTTTACATAGCTATGGAAAATCACCATGTCTAGGTAAATCAACGAACAACATGGTCATTTTCAATAGCTATGTTACCAGAGGGTATCAAATGTTCATGGTTTTGCTTTCAACACTTCAAGTCATGGTCAAAGCAGGCCTCGCGCGCACTGGGTGGCACGGAGGACTGTCCAAAGCGCTGCGCATAGATGGCACCCTGGCGAAAAGTTGTTTCAGGATATGGATCTGGGATGATCTGGGGATCTTTATTTTCCTATGATTTCCTGGTTGGTGGTGCAATAACCATCTTGAAAAAATAGAAAGTTAATGGGAAGGATTATCCCATATATTATGGAAAATAAACAATGTTTGAAACCACCAACCAGTTTCTATGTAATTAAACAAAAAGTCACACTGATATTACACACCCCCATTCTATGGTCCAAAACAAATGTGGAAATTCCTTGCTAAACACCATGGTTTTCCAAGGGGGATCCAAACACCGAGCAGCTGAACATATTCGTCATTGAGAACAGGGGAGAACAGCTGACACTGACATTGCGGTATATTATAAATGTTGATAACTAGTTGGTGGTATACCTACCCCTCTGAAAAACATTAGTCAGTTGGGGGTACTATTCCCAATATATGGAAACATAAAAAATGTTCCAGATTCCAAACCACCAACCAGATAATATATTATAATATGATGTAAAATCATAATTACATACATGTCATATCATGTTATAATGTTACGTCTTATCTCCCGAGTCCAAAGCACACCCGTTCGTTGATCGCCCCAAGGAGGAATGGAACAATTCGGAAGGCATTGGAACTTCATTGGAGATTTCCGAAGTCATGGTATCCCAATAGCTGGATGGTAATGGAAAATCCTCCAGATGGGATGATTTGGAACCAACAAATCAAGTCAATTCCCACGATTTGCGCAGAAGGTAGAAAGCGTCAAATGGTTTTCATTGCTTTGACCACATTTCATTGGTAACATACAGTATATTATATCAATATGTTCGGTGCTCATAAGCAAAACCATCAGAAAACCCATTGTTAACCCTGTGAACCCATGAAGTTAAATTTGTTATACACGCCCATGAGCTACTCAACCATGGTTCAACAACTCGTGAATAATCTTTAGCTTGTTTTAATGGTTCCTGATTAAACAATGTGTAATGACCATTCAAAAAAACAACATTATGTTTTAGTCACCATAAGCACGTATTACACCCATGATGATACCATTGCTAAACACATCTTAAAGAGTGAGTAACAAAAAACTATATATGTTCTTAAACAAAAAACAAAAACATTGAAATGGCCTTAAACACAGCCCGCATAAATCATATACGTGGGGTGAAATTGTGCTTATTACATAGGTAGAACCATTGTAACCATGGTAATCACACCCATATCTACGTTGGCGTGCGATACCTTATGACTATGGTTATTTAGCCAGTTTAGACCTCATACTGCACCCCCAAGTACCACGGATTTCACATCGCCATGGCCATGATTCCCGGCGACGAGAGGATCATCAGCTCATCAACTGATTACTTGACAATAGGATCATCATGATATTATGTAAATGTAAGACTAACAAACATATTATCATATGACTCATATGACCCAACCTTGACAACAGAATATATATGAATATATATGAATATATATATATATGTATACTAAATAGCCATTATCATATGACTCAACGCAGATATACACTCACATATACACTAGCGATCACTAGTGTGGTGGGTCCCACAGTTCTAAGTTGGTGTTTTACCCCCGGGTTGATTACTGGTCCATCAATGCCCGCGATCGGAAAAAAGAAAGGGGCCCCCCTTGCAGAGCCATATCCACAAACCAAACCAACAATAAACCTCCAACTGTGGAATGTTGGCAAACCTATTTCCAACAATAAACCTCCAATAGGTTCCAAACCAAGATCCACAAACCAACAGAAGATTGGAAGGCTTAATATGGGGCCACCTATTTCTGGCAATAAATTTATTGGTGGATTTTCGTTCACTTTTGGATCATCCCAGTCAGCGTCAGGTGTTTCCCTCGTCGTGGGATGATCCTCCAAGTACTGCGGCAAATTGAACCAATTCTTTGAAGTAAAACACACAATTCTTCAATGGAATAGTGCTCGTCATTACGTATCATGACAATGCATTTTTCGAAATCAATACCGCATCTTCTAATATACTAATACCAAGTTCTTCCAAGTGACCCTTTTGAGGTGGTTAAGTGACCCTTTAAAGTTAAGGGCGGGTGAACAGGTCGCTTTGAAGAACCAGGGGTACATCCCAAATCATACCAAGTTGGTGATATATCCCCATCATATTTCATTCTATGGAGATTTCCTCAAATGCGGTCTCCCAAATCATCCAAGTCATGAGATCAGTTTAGTATCGAAACCAATGGTTTTCCTCATTTCCCCTTTTAATGAAACCTCCATATGTATATATATATATACATACAACCCTCTAAAATGGTGGGTTTTATCGCCCATTCAAAGTGATAAATCTTCATCAGATCAACTCACGCCTCCGGACTCTGGACAAAGCTGCGCATGCACTGCTCCGTGGCTGGACTGGGTGCAGCCTCACGGTGCTTTTTTTTTTCCACGTGAAGCAATGGGAAAAGAGGGAGCTACCCTCTGGTTATTTAACATAGCCATGGAAAATCACCGTTTTTAATAGGTAAACCATCTATAAATGGGCCATTTCCCATGGCTATGTTAGTCATAACCAGAGGGTACAGTCATATAAAGCCCTACGAACCAGTGATTTTTATGGTCATTTTCTAGGGTGATCATTCCATTTTTATGGGGTGACTGACTTATAACTGGTATTTTGGGCCATGTTGTCTGTAAAAACCGTCAAAAACCCAACAAAAAGTAGGAACATTGAGATTTAACATTATTTAACATGGTGATGAAATGAAAGTTAACATGGTTCTTTAAAATGACAGGAACATGGAGACTTATTATGATTTAAGATCATTTAACCACACAACCCATTGGGGATTTACAGTTGATTTATGATAGGAGTCTGTTGGTTTGAAACCTGGCTAAGTGTGGGACCCTTATTGAATCTCTCGGAAGGTACACACCTTTTAAGTGAGTAAAGGATGATAAATCACCAATCCAATCTCTCCAGAATGGCCTTTCCAACACGGAAAATGGTGACAAATCAACACACCAGATTTTGAAGCTACCGTTAGAGTCCTTCACAACTATAAATGGATGAAATAACTCGTGCAACTAGTTGGTCATTCATCATATATCATGAACATAAGTCAGTTACAATCCCATTATTTGGTGATTTCTCATCATGTTTGACATGTTTGTATCATTTATCTAAGTGGCCATTCATTGACAATAGTTATAACTTGCTTAATTCATGATATATATATATATACATATATATATATATATATACATATATATACATATATATATATATATAAGCAACTAGTTTCAGGCGTCCTTTCATCTCATGTCAGGCCCATTAAGGGCAGGGCTATAACTGGAACTTTTCAGACCAAGCTGTGCCCACGTTTCCCAGACACCTCTTCGACACTCCGCACTGGCAGCGAGACATGCTCAGCCAAGGTAGTAACCTAACAGCAGCAAAAAGCACCACCATCACGGCCCGAAAATTCACAGCACTTACTAGGTATATCTAGGTATCAGAGGGAAACATGAGGACAATACAGTTAAAGCCCTAGAAACCAGAGATTTTTAGGGTTATTTTAAAAGGTGATCATTCCATTTTTATGGGCTGACTTTCTGACTTACAACTGGCCTACTTCGATGGGTTTTTCGAGGACCTCCACTTTCTGAATCAGCGCGGCGGTGAACATCCCCAGGTTTGCGGGAACATCTGCTGGAAACCGTTTTCTTCCTGGAAAGTATCCTGCAGATGTTTCTTATGTCCAATTAAATGGGATTCTTGGCATGGACCCAATTTTGAAATTAGGTCATTGCGTTTTGTTTTGCATGGGTTCATTCCAATAAACCTCCCAATTCCACTGCATTATTATCAACATTCCCACCAGAATTGCTACTTGGAGGGTATACAGTTATGGCCCTCAACAGTTATAAACGGAATAACATTAACTTATGTAACTAGTTGGTTGTATATCATAGAACAAGCCATGAATAAGCCAGGTATAGCTGGCCTAAGAGGGCTATGCTCCAGCCCTGCTCCAGCCCTTCAGAACCCCCGGCTTTCAGGCTGGCACCTCCGGCTGAGTGGGCATGTCTGCAATGGCCAAGATGGACATCTGCGGGAGGAAAGCTGGATGCAAATCCCAGATTCAAATGATACAAATGGATACAGTCATAGCCCTTAACAGTTCTAAGTGGCTGACCATTACATAGAATATCATATAAATATAATCAACCTTAATTGCAGGAATGATAATCCCATATAATTAATCCCATTTCAGTTCTGTTGAGGGCCGTAACTGTAAAACAAAATACACTAAATGATGATATGTTGAATGGGGATATAAATAAACTGTCACCAGCCGCGATTGGGGAATGTACTCACGATGCATGACTTGGGTGCTGGAAGCTAGTGTGATTATATTTCCCAAGTTTGGTGTACGTCATGAAAGATCAAAAGCAAGTGACCATATAACCGGTAAATTAAGCCCCTGGCACATCTAAGCATATAAGCGCTTGTCACGTGGTAACCCGTTAAAAAAAAAAGAAAACAAGTCTGAAGGTCGGCAATTGAAACACAACACAATAAAACACGAATGTTCCGAATGGGTCTAGACTCCTACACTTGAAGGATTCATTCATAAACCTCCAAGTGGGATAGTGATTGGGGAAGGGTTTATTGCTGTGCTTATCATACTTGTCACATCATTCTCTCGCAATGATACCCACCCCCCTCTATGAGATGGAACCGTTGCAAAACATTATCATAATGACGGGATTGGAACGTTATCATAATAACTCCCGGCCATTATTGTATTTTATCATCACTGAATTATCATCATGTTATGTAGTGTTATGTTATGAAATCATTTCGGTGGGCAAGGCCACATATGTCACTCTGAGCTGAAGCCAGGGATGGCATCGCTATAAGGATCCTGAGTTTGAGCTGGCCGAAGAAAGAGCGAACGTTGGAGGTCAGGTTTGAGAAGCTGGCATGTCATGTAGGAATGGTGTGTGAAAATTGATGCTTGCGAGGGAGGTTTTTTGTTGACCTGTCGTTTCCGGACCAGTGAAACTGATCGGCAACTGTGACAGCAGGACAGCCATATGGCCACCAATGTATCCTCGATGCGCCCCCAACCAGCACCATCGGGAGCATCGAGGCTGGCCAGTGAGGTTGCTGCAACAAGCCCCGCCCGGGACAGGTCTGAAAATCCTCCAGGCCAGCCCAAGCCTGACCAATATCGCTTGTCTGACCAATCTGTCGCCTGACTCGACTTATGTCCGAGCCATGTGACCTAGGTCAACATCTGAACAAGCTTGCCTCACAGAAAGCCCAGGGAGACATGAGAATTCTTTCGCTATCAACGGCCTGTGCATGCCCAAATACTTGAACTGGGACACATCCATTGCGCTGCGCGACACTTGTCTCAAAACTGGATACCCGAAATTTCATGGTTGAGAAAATATGTGTCTCAATCAAGCGGCAAATTGTTGTTTTCGTTGCTTTTGGACAAACCACGACAACATTGACGATTCAATATTATGTATATATATATATATATCCTATATCTATCTATCTGTCTGCCTGCCTGCCTGGCTGTCTGTCTGTCTGTCTGTCTATCTATCTCTGTATCTCTCTATCTATTGTATATTCTAGCATCCCATTACATCCCACTACATCCCATCACATCAAAAGATTGGTTTCATAGCCCCATTGGTCCGAGATATCTCCATGCAATGCTTGGCTTTTGTATGGCTCGGAATTGATTGAATCTCCCCAATTGCTAAAAAAATGAAATCCTTGAATTGCAAAACTGTCCGGACAAAAAACACAACATATTGGAGGATATAAGGGCTTGTCAATCACCATTGGTGGACCATGAATCTCCATTCATATATCTTCAAGAGAGCTGCGTTGTCCATGATTCTTCTAAAGTGTGAAGACTTTCAACAGCAGCTAACTCCACGACATGGCCATCAAGAAAAACACCAGTGCTTGAATGATCAAGTCTGAGTCTTTGGCTGAAAGTGGGATATACACCGTTATACCATGTTATACCCTCACTTCATGACCATTTTACTGGGGATAATAACAATCCATTGGAATTGGTGATGCTCATAATATGTTCGAACAAACCCAAGTAAGTCTTTGGGACAACTTCCTGCACTTCGTAGCAAAACCGGATAGCAACGCTAATGTTTCAAGCTCTCCATCTGCTGTTACTTTGGTTACTTGTTGACTGTATGATTAGATCACATATATACATACATACATATATATACATACATATATATATATTAGATTGTCGGTTTAATATAATAGTAAAAATAAGCATGATGATAATCATAATAGTAATGAGTAATGAATTATAAAGGTAATAACAACAAAAACAACAATGCTAATCATATTAGTAATATTAGGGCGATGGGATTACAACTCAAACAACTGTCTAGGGTATATTCAGAGTGATAGACATAAACCACCATGAACCCCTATTAAGTAGAAGCTTTTTGAACCCTTATATACTAGCTTTGGTACCAATCATCTTTTTTTTGCAGGTAGGCCTTCACCACCATCAACACCTTGTCAGCTTAACCAACATATCCACAATAGTAACCTCCAAAATTATAGAAAGGTCATTTCTCAGTGATCAATAACTGTTCTGTTTTTTGGGGGTCGCTATAGTCTTAAGCCTCCACAGTTCTGGCCCTCAAGCCAGTTATGTTCCTTACTTACTTCCTAGTATATAACCAACTAGTTGCAGGAGTTATTTCATCCCATTTATATCCATTTATAGTGATGTCCCATCACTTTCCCATGATTTTCCCATAGACTTTCCAATTTTCCCATGATTTTCCCATAGATTTTCCTATTTTCCCATGATCTTCCCATGATTTTCAAGGCCATTGGCCTGTCTCAACGACCGAAATTCCGAGCCGCTCTATCCCTCCGTCCTTCAAGGCCGAATTTCTTCGAGGTGTTTCGCTTGGTGCGCTGGACGCACTAGGCGCACTGGACCTTGGAAGCTCTGAACGGGTCCACCGTGGCTGGCAAATCCCTAAAGTAAATGGATTTTCCCATATCATATCATCTTATGATTTATTGATTTATGGAAAATCTTGTCATAAACATTCATAAACTGTGACGGGACAGCCATACGGCCATCGCATTAACTTGTTTTGCTAATGGCCCGAGGTTTTCTGGTTGGTGGTTTTAACCATCTTGAAAAATATAAAAGTCAATGGGAAGGATTATCCCATATATTATTGAACATAAAACATGTTTGAAACCACCATATCATATCATCTTATGATTTATGAAAAATCTTATAAACATTCATAAACCATTCATATCATCTAGAAATGTATGGGATATGAATTTACAGCTGGGGAAAACATATCATAAATCATCTATACATGGGAAATGATTCATCTATAAATCATCTATAAATGGGTAATGTATGGGAAATGAAATCAATGAACATCATCTATATAAATGGGAAATGTATGCACACATATCAATGAAAATCATCTATAAATGGGAAATCGGGATATGTTCCATTGCCATGATTGAAATACCTGGAAGGTAAATAGGCTACACATATTGCCCCTTCCATCCATGGGGTTCCCGTTCGGACGTGATCTACACATGTACCAGGGGTGTATGTTCCATATCCATGTTAGTTTTCTGAGAGGTAACCAATCACACCAAGCAGCTACTGTTTCTTCAAAGTTCCGTAAGTCGACACAACCACCCCTCCTTTCAGACATCTTTTGGGGAGAAGAGGAGAGGCTCTCTGGTTGGAAAAAAACAACATCAAAATGATCACCCCAACATACACTGGTCTGAAATTGCAAGTTGGTGTTGGGGTCCATTTTCCAAAGAGCTGATCAATTCCAAGAGTTGGGTATTTTTCGCCACAACAAACCGTCCCGAAATTGTGTTTTACTGTGGGAATCAAAACCTATTTGGGAAGATTAAGATGATAATTGCGGGTGGTACCTTATTGTCGATTCCGGATAAGCAAAAAAAGGTAAAACAATGAAGTATAAGCGACACAAAGATACACGAAGGAGGTTTGACCAAGTCACCACAACTCTTAGTATAATACTTTTGAGTAGCAAACATTGGCAAAGGATATGGACATACGAAAACAGTAGTCTAACCAACAAACATGATAACCATCAAACCTTCTGTAAGATTGTCTAGTATTGTCTGATGTCTTTCAAAGTGTGGGCAACACACATAAGATTGTCCCAGAAAACTTGGGAACATAAACATAAATGATAAAGGGTGGTTTCCACCAATGAGGGTACTACAGAATGGATAGTTTATCGTGGAAAATCCTATTCAAATGCATGATTACGTAAGGGATACCCTCTGGTAAACTAACATAACTATGGAAAATCACCATGTTTAATGGGAAAATCCACTATAAATGGTCATTTTGAATAGCTACGTTAAATTACCAGAGGGTATCCCCATTTCAGGAAACCTCCAAATGTCCGTACTTTGGTGAACTGTTGACTGGACATGCTCGTCAGTGTTTCCTGGCTGCTCGCCGCGCTGGAGGTTATCCACAGTTTGACCCCATGGTAGTCTAACATAGCGAACTGCCAAATCAATGACTATCATCTTGAATAGGTATATCATCAACAAGGTGGTGCCCCATAGTTAGCTAAGTTGGTTTATAACTCCCATAACTATGGTTTATGGCAGATATAACTATAGTTAATGGGGTTTATAAACCAACTTATAACTGGGGGGCACCATCCTGTACAAATTAACACTGTGTCATAGTTATGTTGAAATACAGGATGGCTTCATGGTCATACTAAGGGGATCCGCATCATTTCCTAGATGACTAGAACCTGTGGAAGAAATGTGACACATCCCCAATCATTCTGGCAGCTCACGCCTCACTTTTGCTTCCTACTCTTGATTTTCTATGGCAACACCTAGTAGGATGTTCTTCTTTGGGGAGTACGACAATTTTCTACCATCATGTGTATATATATATATATATATATCAATTTGTCGCTAAAAAAAGATAACCCCTCAAATGAAAAAAACACTAATCTATCATTATATGCCTCAGGATTGTTTTTTTCACTTTACAGAGTCTATCCAAAATTCAGGTGGTACCACTGGGCCGCTTTTCGACTTTGAAAAAGCGGCCATAAGAATTCCACCACTGGGCCGCCCCACATGGAAGCCTCCGTGTGAGACTTACTCATGCTGGACTTAGCATCCTGAACCGTGTGGATCCATGGCAAAGTGGGCCAAACGACTGGGGTCCATGGAGGATATACCCTCTGGTTATGTCAACAGTTTGCTATTGAAAATGGCCATAGAATGGTATTTTTCCATAGTTATGTGGCTGTTTACCAGAGTGTAACTGCTTTTCATAAGTTTTCATGAATCTGGCTTAAAAAACCAACTTATAACTAGGGGGCCCACCTTGTAGTTTGATTTCTATTCATTTTTGGTATCCTCCAAAGATACTTTTTTTTATTTCCCAAACATGGACCAAGCATGAGAATTCACTCCGAACGGTCTTTTTGGGATAGTTGCTCTTGCTGATCATCATTTTTCCGAATATATACTGAGTTCTACCGTTGCATGTGTCTATGTATGTACTGTACCGTATATCGTATACATATGCGTGGATAATTGTGATCTTAGATACCCTTCTATAGCTGGTTAGTATATATCCCACTGATGGCAAAACATTGAAGTTAGCAACTACCTATCCAAGGTTGACCCAGTAGTCCTACAATAGTCTACCCCCAAATCCAGTGGGTTAGCATCTTGTTCCCCACTCAAGACATAGCCCATTTCGCGACAAACGCTGATATGTACCAGTAGAATGAGATTTTAATCCAAAATTGTACCCAGCACATGGAATCCCGGCGAGTAGAATTTTATGTTTCTGCCACGTGGAACAAAGGGAAAACTCACCTCACTTCTGGGAAAACTCCAGTGATTTAGTCGAGTTCGGTCAGTTTTTGGATAGTTCCTACAAAATAAAGGCCATAGTCCATGGTTTCCAGTGATGGCAAGTCTTTTTTTTGACCCAGTCCATCGCTATGGGCCGTACCCGAATGAATCCAATCCCCTCTATTTAAAATACCTAAACGAAGCCTGCTGACATGTATATGGCCCTTAACAGTTATAACTTATAACCGGGTTAGAAATGACAGAAATGACGTATATATAATATATTACATATATATATATATTATAGATATAATATATATATATATATATACATATTACATATACATATCATATATACATATCATATTATATATACACATTATATATATATATATATGTTTAAAAAAGTGCAGGAGCTATAGTCCCATTTATACCTGTTCAGGGCCATCACTGATTTATATGGGATGATCTGTTCATCTTTTTTGGGCCCCAAACATTGGTTGATCTTCCCATGTTCGATCGGTCAACATCTCCAGTCACAACCATCACTGGTTGGTGGTTGAGCCCTACCCCTCTGAAAAATGATGGAGTGAGTAACAGTTGGGATCATGATATTCCCAAGATATATGGAAAAACATATAAAAAAATGTTCCAGTCACCACCAACCAGTGATTATTCACCATTATTAACCATCATTAACCATCATTATTAACCTGGCAGGTGGGAAAAAAATGTTCCAAACCACCAACTAGTAAACCCCTAGTGTTTGATTGTCAAGAGGCTGTTTTTCTAGCTGTTTTTCCCAGCCTCGAGTCCTGGGATCTCCTCCGGCTGAACCTGTGGCAGCACCATGGGAGTTGCACCACTGCGCGACTGCACAGCGTGAAGTGCGTGAAGTGCGTGAAGTCACAAATCTAAGGCCGTTAGTCAAGGAAACATATGCCAGTCACAACTGAGTCACAACATAACAATGGAGAAACAAAGTTCTAAAGAGATCCTGAAATCAACCCAACGAATCGTTTGGCGTTGTTTTCGGGGAAAAAAAAGGATGAAACTGCTCAAAATTAGGAGATTCATGCCCAAGAGAAAATATTGTTGGAATTTGGGAATTCTTCCAAACTATGTGTATATCATACTATACATATATATATATAATATCTTATTACATAAGCATAGTTGTCAGGTGGGGCGATATCCCAACTTCTAAAGGTGAACTCTGAAGTCTGAATTTTTTCAGGACCCATCCACTTCGAAACCGCGGGACCTTTTTTTGGTAAAGTGACCAGAAAAAAATACCAAAGTCTATGCCATCAATCAACTATAGGTGTGTTTAATGTTATATAACCCATGACGGATCCATGGTGCTGGTATATATGCTAACATAAAGGGGGTATAATAATGGGATTCATGTTACCATATATAGCAGCACCATGGATCCTATGGGTAATGTTTACCTATAGAAAAGTTTATCAGGGTTTATCAAAGAGCCTTGTTTATCATTTTTAAGTGAGGTTCCTGTGATAATCCACATATCCGAGCCAACCCTATGACTTGGAGGCAATGCCGCAATGCTCCATGTTCTAAAATCGGAAGACCAGTGGCAGAGGCATAGCGGCGATCCGGAGTGGAGGTCGGCAGGGATATCTCTCGAATCGCACCAGGGTTTGTCTGAAAATAGGGGCATCCCATAAATCTGGGCAAATTGTAATAATTCACTAACCTGAATTAAGGCCATTTGGGGATGATTTCCCTTATTAACCATGATTCCAGTGAGGTCGCAGTGAGGTCGTTATAATTTACCCAGATAAATAATCCCATGGTTTATCATCATTTTCCCACCTTTTTGAATTTTCCGACTCGCCGTGAACCCCTGGCCCAACACAACACGTCCCCCGCGTTGCTGCAGGCCTTCCTGGAACGCCAGCCCAGCGGCGCTGGCTTCTTTTTCGCCAGCTCGGCGTCCTGTCAAACATACCCTCTGGTAATTTAACATAGCTATTGAAAATGGCCATTTATAGTGGATTTTCTCATTAAACATGGTGATTTTCCATAGTTATGTTAGTTTACCAGAGGGTAGCAATGGGATATCCCTGAGAAATGGAGCTTTCAGTGATCATCATTACCATTTTTTTACCGGAGTGCCTCAGTTCGGAATCACTAAATTAATCTAAAAATGATGCTTTAGTTCACTCAGATTCACTCACATAACTGTTGGCTTTTGGAATCTTTTGGATCTACGGAACTCTGGGTTTATAAAGCAATCTGTCACTGGCCTTAAAACGGGGGTAGCACCGTGCGCAAAGCGCGCATACAGGGCGGAGTTGGGGTTCTTTCTATGGGTAACAAAAATATGCAGTCTATGGTATAAGCATGGCCCCAATCAGTGGGATACCTATGGCTATGGTCATGGCCATATTCACTGGCACTGCTCCCCCTGTGGGTGTATCGAATTTAGAACTGGGCTGAAATATGGTCATGGAGTACCCACTTTCAGGCACGTCAAAATGTACGACACCTTGTGGGTGCCCCAGAGTTAGCGTTTCGTGGATTCATAACTGGGTTGCCTAGGGTCTATGGTAGATATACCCTCTGGTTATCTAACATAGCTATGGAAAATGACCCCTTTATAGATGATGTACCTATTAAAAGTGATGATTCTCCATGGCTATGTCAAATCACCAAAGGGTAGCTGTACTAACTGGGCCGGTCTAAAACCCAACATATAACTGGGGGGCAGCACCTTGCATGATACACGAAAAGAGCCACCATGTTCCCCCTTCACCAAGTGGAATTCGGATGGTAAACTTCCCCCAATGCTATTACTGATCTCACAGCTATGGAAAAATGTAACATGTGTCTAGAACAAACACCAAAATGGATGGTTTACATTTGTTGTATCAGTTTACTTCCTACTGGTTCTTCCAAGGAATATCATCTTCCAGGGTCCATGCTGTTCCAGGGCCGGAACCGAGATCCGGGACCGAAACAATAAACACCGAAGCGAACAGTTGAGTAACAGGAACCGGTACAGGATGGGGCATATAAGAATATAAGTGGTTTAACTATGGTTTATGGATGTTTATGGTAGATATAAGTATAAATAACATTAAATAACTATAATAGTTAATGGATGTTAGTGGGGTTTATAAACCAACTTATAACTGGGGGGCACCATCTTGTAGGAACCGGAACCCTTCAAAGACAGAACCGAACCGAATTTGTCAATGGCACACTCTGTGCCCACATTGCGTTTCAAGGCAAAGTCTTGCTATGTCCGAGATGACACAAGTCTGCGAGCTTGCCATGAAAGGAAGCGGGGATGAGGCAGACGAAGAGGAAGAGGAGCTGACACAAAATCTACAGACCCTCACCTGACAGATGGGGGACACGTAAAACATGAAAAACTGCAAGGAAAACGAAAGGACATACAAGCACATGAAAGGAAAAGGAAATGAAAGGAAAACAACAGGAAAAATGAGTGGCGTAAGAAACAGGAAACAAAGGGCAGAGGAAGAGAAAGGACAAGGTGTTGATTACTATTCCAAAGCTTTCGACGGGGTCTCCATCAAAAAGTAATGACTGGATGTATGTGTGCCTATTGCCAAATCTGGAAGTAAAAAAAATCAAAAAGAAAGATAAAAGGAACAGCTAGGAAAACGAAAGGAACGTGTAACGCGACTTGAAAAGGGGAATGAACGAACCACAAAACTAAAAACATAGTTTAGCTAAAAGTGAAAAAGAAAACGAAAGGAAAAGAAAAGGCAAAACTAAAGAAACAACAAACATGAAACACACATATATGGAAACAAGGGCAGATGACAGAAAATTGACGAAGCATGACAAAAATGAGACCATGTGTCTACATCCAACGTGCCGCTATGCCCTAGTTGCTGACCCCTTGTGTGGGTGCACCATCCACACCTTGACTGCGCGTGGTTTCACGCCTTTCACTTGGATATTAAGCAAGCATGTATACCCTCTGGTAATTTAACGTAGCTATTGAAAATGACCATTTATAGTGGATTTTCCCATTAAACATGGTGATTCTCCATAGTTATGTTAGTTTACCAGAGGGTACATCAAAACCCAGTTCTACTTGCAGGATAATCCCATTGTGCCAGCTCTGCAGAGGTTGCGTCATACTTGGGGGTCGTGTTAAGTCACCCCTCTCCGTAAAAAGTCACACCCGCGCGTGCGCACACCCGATTTGGAGATCAGTAACCCCCATTTGTAAGAAAATCACCCAATGACATATGAGATCTGGCTGGGCACACCATGTGCGCAAACATTCTATGATAAACATGTTTTGCAACGATTCATTGGGCACACGCAAGTGAAATGCTAATACTCCATGGTGCTGGAATATTTACCAACATTTGCCCTAATAATCACCCTGTTTTGTAGGTAAATATACCAGCACCATGGTTCGCATATGGGAATGATATAAAATATAAACCATAGTAAGTATAGATATATCATGATATATACAGTATCACATATATATATATATATACCATAGTTATTGGAGTGTTATAAACCAACATATGCCCATTCTTTTGACGATTTCTTTCTTTGCTGAGAGTCACAGCAGGGTCAATGGGATGGGACGGGAACGTCCTGCTGCAATCGATATTCCTCCGTTGCCTCCAAGGACGCCTTGCCACGGGAACATTTGGGGTATGGGTCAACATTGGCTACAGCAATTGGATGGTACAAACATAGACTTCAATCTCTGGTCATTCCCCAGGTCTGGTAGACTTTGACCCAATCCCGTTCCTGAATGTCAAGTATGTGGCTATAACTGGTATACAATGACATAGTGTTACCGGAGTTAATAGTCCCAGTTCAAGCACATTTATAGGGGGCATAACATGGCATAACTCCAAGAGCTCTCCATCTTTCTCCATGTTTTCCCCCCAATCGTTTTGTGCCTGAGCATGCTCTGCCGCCACACGGGCTGCGGCCTGGGATGTTTTCTCGGTGAAATCTTAGCGATAATTGGGAACAATCACTTTAAATAGAAAATGGCCATAGAAATAGTGGATTTTCCCATTTAAAATTGTGATTTTCCAATAGAAATAGTGGATTATCCCACTAAAAATGGTGGATCTTTCCATAGTTTTTTGTAAACGTTTACCAGAGGGTAAATGAATTAAGCTTACTGGTGCTAAACGTAGGCTGGTTGGTGGTTGACCTACCCCTATGAAAAATATGACTTCGTCAGTTGGGATGATGACATTCCCAATATATGGACAAAATAAAAAAAAACATAAAAAAAACATGTTCCAAACCACCAACCAGTAGGGAATGGATGGGAATGGGGGTTGCTGGGATGATTATTGATAGTTATTCTGGATCATTCCCTCATTCCCTACGTTTAGCACCAGTAAGTAAGACTTTGTAAGTCCTTGTACCTATATCATCAAGCAGGCAAGGAAATTCGTCCTACTGATTGACAATTGACATAATTGACAATCATCTGATTGACAAAAACCTGCTTTCAACCTATCCCAGCAGCTATTCGAGAATTGGAACTACGACAAGTCAAACCAACACACACAAAATAAACAACAAACAATGCCTCTTGCCAATCCGTTGACCCTGCATCCAGCCATACAACTTCACCCAACAGCAACGAAGCAGCCCCGCCTCGGCTTTGGACAAGAGATTGGTGATGGCGAAATGCGAAAAGATACCTAAACAGGCCAACACCAGAGCCAGAGATACCTCGGCCAGTGGGGGTTGTTACCTATAGGACGGGTGGCCGGGTGGTCATTGGGAAAACTGACGATAAATATACCATGGCTAGACAGGGCCCTATTTTCAGACACAGTATGCCTTCGGACGCATATGACAAACACACTCCGCACCCTATAACTAATACTCAACATCACCTTGCAAATTGCGGCGTAAAACCATTAAATTTAAAATCTTGACAAACCCCTGTTTTTGCCACCCTTTAACATCCCAAATGTTTTCTGAACGCTACCATATGAACCGGACGTTTCAAGAATCTCCGCTAAGCTGCCAAAAGCACTGCAAGGATTGCACAGATGGCACCTACACTAACCATCTCGTGGACTGGGGGTGACCTGAAGCTGGTTGCGGATTGCTTGGAAGATCAGCGATGATAGGGATGAGAGCACATGGGTTGGAAAATGTGGTTTAGCATGAAACATCAATCAATCAACGACGAAGATATCACCCAGCATGATCAAGATCATGATCATCACGATCATCACGATCATCACGATCATCACGATCGTCACGATCGTCACGATCATCATCATCATCATCATCATCATCATCATCATCATCATGATGTTCATGTGTAGTGTACATACCAAACCATTAAAATAAAAAACAACAGGTATGTGGATGGGGAAGTATTAACTTTATTGCTTCAAGCAATAGACAAGTTCAGGCAGATTCCAGAAATTGTTACTGTTAACGTTGAGTCATAGAACGATGAAAACTACAAGAGTTTGGGATGCTCCCCCCCAGTCCATCACTTGGAGGATCATTCAACATCAAATGTTGGCAAGTACTGTAACCGTACCAGTTGTACATCCAATGAGGACTTGGATCAAGCCCGAAATGCAGGATGTCTTAGCCACGGATATAAAGACTTATTGCCATCAACATGACTTGCATCTCACAATTTCTAGCAAATCCTGATACTTTCTAGTGGTTCACGCTTTAAGAAATTCCTGAGATGGTTGAGCCACCATTTAATGCCTCTAAGTGATCTCCAATGGTTTTCTCCAATGTTTCACTTCTACATTTCTGGAGGTTCAACCCCTACAATTCCTTCCTTCAACAAATGCACTGGGGAAATTGCAATCTTTGACAACAATTCAGCGACCACTTTGAGTTACTAATGTGGGAAACCCAATCTTCGTCAGCATTCGTCAGTCCCAAAAAATGACGCCGCCACGGGACAAGCCGGAACTGCCCGCCAGGATGAGCGCAGTCAGCAAGGATACCAGGCTGAAAGGCAGGATCACCTGGCGCCGATGATATTTAACTTAACCAACCAGTTACAGGAATTATTTCATCCCATTTATAATTGTTAAGGGCCACGGTTGTGACAGGTTTTGGTAAAGGCCGTTGTCTTACAGTTTTCTTTGGGTAGTGGTACTAGGGGGGAACTGCAGTGCCCTCTGTTCTTCGGGGTTCTGCTGATTGATTTTTGCGGTTTCGAAATGCGCTGCCCTTTTTTCTGTTGAATCTTGACCACTCCAGATCAACATCTCTCTAGATCTTCAAGGTTGGTAGGGATACTCCCCGCCATCCACAACCTTGCCACATCCCACACAGCAGCCAAGACACTACGTTGGCATAAGCGGCAAAGACATCCAGACCACCTCCCAGCGATGGGAAACACTGTCATTTGGGGTGCCTGGTTTCAACATCAATTCATTATCATTCCCCCAACAAGGAGCCCCTGCCATGAGTCATACTGTCATACTGTCAGTGATGGTAAACATGTCTAATCCAGACTCATACCAACATACACGTACCAATGATTTCAGCATCTTGAACCACATCAAGAGCCATACACAATCCATATAAAACCATCCCAACGAATCCTGCCTCCACCAAGGCCCACGGCTACGAGAGCTGCGCAGTTGATGCACAGCAGGCCTGAAGTCCAACTGCAGCCCCAAGTTGACCCTCAGTTTACCTGTTAAAAATGGATAGCATATGTCAAAAAGTCCCAAAGTTATGGGAAGAATAGTCATGTTTGTAGGTTGGTCTAGGTATACCGATGAACTCATCAAACCAAGTAGCCAAGTGGTGGAAGCTTAAAAGTTGATAAATGTTGATAAAAGTTAATGAATTTGTAGTTCCAAGTTTCAGTCTTATGTATTAAGTGGCCGTTTCTGTTTACTACTATTGGGAATGGTTTCTTGCTGTTTTCCAAACATGCATCAAGTGTAAACACAATACAATCGTGTCATCCCGTTATTTCGTTGTTTTCTCAGCAGGCACAAAGGGGTGGGTGATGAATTGAAAGCGGCACCCAAATCTTGCAAGCTGAGCAGCTGAGAACGCAATGGCACACACGCAAAAAAATCGACTACATCTGTACGTTGAGGTGTCTTAAGTGTACGCCGATCCATATCCATTGCAAAAAAAGTCGAAGACCCTTCACCTTGTGACTGCTGGCTTGTGCTTTGATTGGAATCATCCTAGTGTCGCGAAGATGAAGACTGAAAGTTTACAGTTCTGTTAACTTTCAATCCCTGCAGAGGGCGATGTTCCCAGTCGAAACTCTACATATATTTGTCCAAAACTCGTGGGATACCTCAAAATGTACATTTCAATGCAAAAAAATATGTCTGGTTGGTGGTTGACCTACCCCTCTGAAAAATATGAAAGTCAGTTGGGATGATTATTCCCAATATATGGAAAACCATTTATGATCAACCCTGAGATTTTGGAGATTTTGGGGCCACTTCTGGTCAACCCCAAAGAACCCTACCTTTGGGAGTTGAACCCGCCCACCGCCCATCAAAAGGGCGGATCTTGGCTCATCTAGCGAGGTGGGTGAGAGCTTCACTGGGTGAATTAGATCAGTAGGACATTGAGCAAGCGCTGTTTGAAACCACCAACCAACTCATGTACCCTCTGGTAATTGAACATAACTATTGAAAATGGCCATTTATAGTGGATTTACCCATTGAAAATTGTGATTTTCCATAGTTATGTTAGTTTACCAGAGGGTATGTCAGGCCAAGTCTGTTTCTGTCATCCAAGGCCTAATTCGATATATATATATATACATATATATATATAAATATATATATATATATCTGCTACCCAACCGTCGAACTAGATATGTCAAGCAACTTAGCTGCTCATAAATCAGCTGTATCCCAATTGTATGGAATTGTTGGTTGCTTGAATCTCCAGTTTCAGCCTAGCCAGATCTCTTGAAAAACCCTGCCTTCAGCGAGAAAAAGACAGCCCAAAATTGGCCCCATCTGGCGCAGTTGCTGAGACCGGAAAGTGATGGTTGCGTCATTTCTTGAAAATAAGGAACAATAAGGGTACACCATTGTGCAGTACATGTACATAATCTATTCATATATATATATATACATATACAGTATACTGAACTGGCTGGTGGTTTCCTCAGAACTTTGCGATCTTGAGATCATCCTGAGGGGATGAACTTCACTGCGCTGTTCTTGGCGAAGCTGACTTAATCTTAGGTACCCAGCATGGACACGGGGATGGAATCCACCACGTCGGAAGCAGTTGGAAACCATTGGGGAGTCTGTTGTGACAAGTTGTCCATTGGACGCTGGGATAAAAGGCCCTTTGGAAAAAAAAATGCATAGACCGCAATCTGGTACGAGTGTATCCACTGGTAATTCAACATATAGAAAATGGCCCATTTCTAGTTGATAGATGGTGATTTTCCATAGCTATGTTAGTTTACCAGAGGGTATGTGTCAGAATGATTCAGAATTTTCAACCTCCCAAACTTTGATTTGCCCAAGGAATGCCCCAAAAAATAAGACACCATATTCCCTATAGATTCCCCAAGTAGTGGATTTAGTGGATTTCCTGTTGGCAAAGTAGGCTTTTGGTACACCCAAAGCAGACCCCGCCATGGTCCCTCTTTGGCGCACCCTGCCACAGGTAGTATATAGGCTGCAAATAAATTGCCCGGCGGGGGGAGACAACCTCTGGAAGCGTGGCTGAACAAGTTGTGCAGATATAGAATGGTTGAGGCCATGGCCAACCCTGTAAATAATGTATGAACTTATAAAATCATACATGAAAAAAATATGGAAATTGAAGCACAACATTTTGGTTCCAATAGGTACTTACTGAAGTTTTCCGCATATTCTTGTTCTATTTGGCTATGGTTTACCATTTGTAGAATATTGTTAAATCCTAATACCCAATTATAAATCATCAATATGCATTTGTTTGCGGCAAGTTCCCTGACTGACCTTCATTTGCGGGCTGGTTGAGAATGGTCAATTTCGAAACTCAACATGACGGGTATCTCAACATTTGACAACATCATGAGAAACCATCACGAGAAATCCAATGGATTTGAGATACCCTATATTGACACAAACCCCAAGGCATTGGAGAATCCACCGCTTTTCTTGATGGTTTGGGCCTGGAGTCGACCCGTAAAACAAGTTCTGTTCAGAGGATGGAGGTGGTTTTCCGGATGAAAGATGTTGTAAACATCATTAGCTGGGAACGTACTATTACTTGAAACCACTTGAAACCATTTGAAACCATTATTGTAAAATAGTTTACCATGGTGAACTTCTACAATAATACTACCATATAATATATACCATATTATATACTATAATATAATATATATATATAAATGTGGGCCCCCTAGTTATATGTTGGTTTATAACCCCATCTAACTATACTTGTAAGTACCATAAACCCTAGTTATTGTAGTTATTTGCACCAACTTAGCTATCCAACGGGGGCCCCACATTGTACATCATATTCATATGCCAGAGAATTACCCTCTGGTAATTTAACATAGCTATTGAACATGGCCATAGAAATAGTTGATTTACCCAAAATAATATATGATATAGTTACCATGGGCAATCTATGGTTCACTTGGCTCCGGACGGATCCCAGTACTGCTGCTCGTAGGGCGGGCAATTCTGGACCGCCAATTGGGCGCCTGAAAAAAAGGCCAAATCATGGGAAACTCATGGGAAAATGCGGGGAAACTCATGGGAAAATGCAGGGAAAATGATGGGAAATCACTATTTCAATGGATATAAACTGGCTGGAAAGGTCCATGAAAATCAACTAGTTGCTGGCGTTCTGATGGAAATTTATAACTCTTTTTGGGCCAATAATATCCATAAATGTAGATAACAACCACATACAACCACTATGGTCAGTTCGAATTTCTATCGTTGTTTTACATGTGTTTGTTGTTAGAGCTTTGGTGCTTTCTTTTGTTTGGGGGTACTATAAACTAAAGAGCGACAACTGCGACAAAATTGGCCTGTTGCATGCTGGAAAACAGACTGCAACTACATTCTTCAGGACCATTCTTCTGGCTTGCAGATTGTCAGAACTTGAACAGCATGGTTGTACAGTTATGGCCCTCAACAGCTGTATATACCTGGAAGTATAACTCGTGCAACTAGTTGGTTACATACCATGAACGAAAACCAGTTACAATCCCATTTATAAAATTTATAGTGATATCCCGTCATTTTCCCATCAAATCCCATCCTTGTCCCACCTGTTAAGGGCTATAACTGTATATAAATCCCATGAAACCTAAGGTTATAATTAAGCATCATAGTTTACCATAGTTAGATACTATAATGGTCATTGTTTACCTCCATGTTAGAGCTATAACTGTATATAAATCCCATAGTTATTGGAGTTACCGTCTCTGTTTACTTAACATAGCCATGGAAAATGGCCCATTTATAGATGGTTTACCTGGGTTTACCTATTGAAAATGGTGATTTTCCATGGCTATGTTAGATAACCAGATGGTATGTTTACCAGCTGAGCGCTGAAAATTCGTCCCGTTGCTTCTCTGGCGCACCTGGGAATCTTCCATTGTTACCGTCGCCAGTGAGAGCTCCAGCTTGCTTATCCTCGGGCTAAAAAATGGCTGGGCCAACCAACGATCCAATCTTAAGTTGATTTTCTTTGGGGTAACAACATCCATAGTATACCATAGTATCTAATAGTATACTGTTTAAGAACATCATAGTAATAAACCTCTAGGCTGTTTTTTTTTGGGGGGTACCATTTAATTTTTTAAGTATCAAATCATGACTATTGGGGGAATACCCCCCTAATTAATAAACCATGGTTTATTAATCCCGGGTTGGTTTTTTTTCAACAATCCAAATAGTCCAGTTGATGTTCTTTGGGTGAAATCTCATCTTTAGCATCATTGAACCATCCCACAACATGGACCCTGAAAACTGAAGATCAGGAGCACTACCAAAGCCCAACTCATGGCAATATCGTCACGTTAAATGGTTGCTAGTGCGGCTAGCCATGCTAGTTGAAGCAAGACTAGTAGTGAATCCTATGGTTTTTAGATATCAACAAAGAAGTGACATCACCATTCTGGCTGGATACCAGTAGAGAACTCACATGATTACTGAACCTGCTCCAGAGCGAGACCCAATTCCTGAAGATTCACCACCCTCCAAGTCTCAGTTTCCTGGTTAGTTCCTATGATCCCACAATGGAGGATTTTTTCCCAGCAGTGGCAGCAGCGATGGAAACAAAAAAAACTAAGTTCAATGCAAACATATATACCAATATCATTGCCTTAGACTTCAAAAAATCAACAAACATCAACAAAGTAAAAACAATAGACATCACACAACATCAACAAACATCAAACACATGTTCAACAAACAATGGAATATGACATTCCTCCAGCAAAAACTGAAAAAGCGTCCCATTCACCAACATCCAACACAACTCGCCAAGATTCGGTGTACAATTCTCCAAGTTCTGACTCTTGAGAGCCACTACCTCAGTCAGATATGTCGCCGGGAAGAGCCGCTGAGATTCAACTTCAAACTGTGGAAATTCCCATTGCCAGAAGAAATGAAACAGGCAGCATTGAGAAAGAAAAACAGTGAACCATTTTGAACACGTATATGTTCATGAAGTGATGAACAAATCAACAAGTGGAATTCCGCCAAATGAACCCAATTGTATAGATGTCTACATTGTAAAACATATTTTAAACAACACATGCATAGATCCATTATCATATACTATCTATTATAGATATATTAAACACTATAGATATATGACATTCTATTATCTATTATAGATACATTATCATTACTATAGTGTTTACATATTATTTGTAGATATATATATAATATATATATAATTTATAATGATACAATACATCTTAATATTACTATGTTACCAGTACTATTACTATCTTACTATGGTTTTACCCACCATGAAGTGTGGTGGTTTACCCAGGGCACATGATTGGCCCACTGGGATGCCAGGCCCACCTGAGCCCAAAGGCCTGTGGCAGCTTCGAAGAACCGGAAGTTTTTGTAAAGACCATAGAAATCGTTGATTTACCCAGCTATAAAATGGTGATTTTCCATAGTTATGTTAGTTATGTTAGTTGATTTACTCAGCTATAAAATGGTGATTAACTCAGTGACTACTTTCAAAGTTTCAAATTACCCTCTGGTAAACTGGTAAACATACAAAAAACTACGGAAAATCACGATGTTTAATAGTATAGTTATTCACAATAAGCCCAACAACTAACCTACTGAACTAAACCAACTAGGCCTTGGGGGGCCTACTAAAACCCTGTTTTATTTTGGATGGATCCAGCATAAACCCAACATTAGACTAGTTTACATACAAGGAGGTGTCCCACCAGTTATGTTTTTTGGATCTTTTTGGTTTATAAACTCCATTAACTATAATGTGGGCTAAACAATAAACCACCCCCGAGTCATCACCCCCTTTATAGGTGGTATAAATAGACCATTCCCAGTCATGGGTGGTAAACATGACATTGTTTTATTTTATACACACTAATTATGAACCAACTTTGCAAAGTATCAAAGCCTTGGAGGTACCACCCGGATTTCATCGCCAATCTTAGATGCAAAAAATGGACCAAATTCTTTGCTGATGAACGTAGATATTCCCATTGATACCAAAAGACTAAAGAATTAAAGTATCCATCTAAGATTGACCTACAGTTATGGTCATTTATCAGTTATAAGTACTTATAACCCCATTTATAGAATGTATAATCCCATAGAAATAACCAGTTATAACTGGTAAATGGCCATAACTGTAGATGTTTTCTTTGCGACGAAAAAGGGCGAAAATTCACGCAGACACGGCCTGCAAAGGGACCGCTCGGCTGCCATGAAGTCGTGGGTGGAACTGTCTGCAGGACCGAGGGGTTCACATAACCCACCTGGCCGGGGATGAAAAA